ATCCCTGCGGGTGTACTTTCGAGCCGTCTTAGCGTGCATTATTAAATTGTACGCCGCGTCAAGAGAGCTAAAAGACAGGGTGCTCTGGGAAATTCTAATTTAACACGAAACGTCCGGAACACACCGCTTCGTCCGTACAGGCGCTGTACAAGGTCGGCGGTGGACGAGTATCACGGACTGCAAAGGGGTGAAGTAGGAAAACTCATCCCTCTGTGTGTGTGTGTTTTGCCTCGCATATATATGTATGTATGTATGTATGTATATGTATATGTATATATTTATGCGTGTATATATATATATAAATACAAACACTACATACTTATATAGGACCGGGAGCGCGAGTGCGTGTATGCCGTACACGTGTGTGCGTGCGTAGAAATCCTTCGGGCCAATAAGAATGCTGGAGATACTTTGGGAGCTCCACCCTTTCCTTAACAAACACCTTACCGCACCAACCCTTCCGTCTGCCAGCGGGGTAGGTTTTAAGAAGAAGCCATCATGGAAAATGCCGTCCCACTCACCCGCACCACACCGCTACGTGAACCTACTTTCTATATACCCTACACCGACGCTACGCGATTTAATTTTCTATACAAAGTTCTGACGACATTTCCGTCAAAGTCTATCTCACTCTCTCTCTCTCGATTTTTTCTTTCTCTCTCTCTCTATCTCTCTCATCTTTCTCTCCTTCACACACACACACACACTCACCTCTCTTTGCGTCTTTCTCATTCTATACCTATGTACATATATATATATATATATAGTTAAATATATAACTTCTCCAAGTCTCTGTTCCGTTTTCTCTCTTTCCACTACCTCTTTTCCTCATCTCTACTGCACTCTAAACATAATGTACACGCGCATATATCCTCTTTCCCTTATCAATGTGGCCGTTGAAATTCTGCCGGGTTTTCAATCGAATAAACGCACCAGCGGCAACAGCCCAGCCGACGAGAGAAGTTATCGCATGAGAAAACTTTCCTATTAAAGTGATGGGCTGATGTGCTCGCGTGTATTATATATATATATATTAGTGTATGTATGTATAAATGCGTAGTAGAAGAACTTCTCAAGTTTTAACTAAGATAAATACTTAAGTTCCCAGGCTAATGGTTATTGGACGTTTAGAATTGATGTGCGTAGCAAAATATTGCGAGGGATAGCATTTGTACAAGTTACTTTGTGTAATCGCGTATATTATAATATATAACTCGGTCCTTCGTAAAACGAATATTGAACGAAATTATCAAGACTACTAGATTAAAACGCTATATATATATTCAGTTAGCACGAGTAGAGTTATTACATTATGTAAGAGAAAACTCAGGTATGTTTCTAGTTTCAGAACTATTAAAACAATTCAAAATGTTAAGTATATGCTTGTATATGCTAAACACTCCTATCCAATGTAGATGTATTTTGCTTAAAATGTTTGAATAAAATCAAAATCAATATTGTTTTATAGTATTGTTTGTTACCTATTTATAAAAACTCATTGAACAAAAAAAAAAAAATGTAAAAATATATAATTTTACAAACAGATTTTTTCATCCATTTTCTATCAAACTAATGTAATGATCCTGTTATAACTGTTTAATAGGTACAACTATGTTGTACCTATTAAATTAAATATATTTTTTTTTATTGTAAATAAGCTGATTGTAGGAGCACCATATTCAATCATTTTATATTCTATAATGAATATAATAACTATTGAGAGTACAATTATTCATTTTTATCGAATTATAAGATTACATATGATTAATAAATAAGGTTCAAAATTTAAGGCTTAAGAATAAAATTTCTAAAACCATTAAAATATGTACCTAATTCGTTTTATTTCAAGTTGCATACGATTCAAGTATGTTTATGAAAACTAATTTTGTTTCTAATTTAATTTTCTAATTAAAAAGTTTACAATGTTTTTATGTTAGTTTCCTGACACTTCAAATTTTTGAATGTAACTTATACATGAGTTCTAACCTCAAATATGAAAACTTAATGTGTAACATTAATGAAATAAATGTAAATGAAATATTTAAAACATTTTCTACACAAATTTTGATTATTCACACTCTTGACGACATTTTTATTAATCCCATTTTAAACTATTTCATAATAGTCACAATTCTCTACACAAATTTTTCTCTGTCTTTCAAATAGCAGTTAGTGTAATATTGCAAATTATGAAAATATTGAAGTTTGAGATTATGACTTTAAATGATAGACAAATTTTCAAATATATTCAAAACTATATTTTTCTCCAAAACTTAGTCAAATGATTACAAAATATGAAATTAAGAAAAGTCTAATACCAACTAACATAGTAAGAATTTGCATTTAAAATTATGTTTTTTTTATTGTTGTATGATTGAAAAGTATAATTTAGTATTACTTTTGAAGGGACATTGGGATGTTTCCATACCAGATTTTGTTACTACTCCGCTATCAACATAAAACATTTGATGTACACAATTTAGTGATTCAATGAAAAATGAATCTGAAAATGTGTAAGCAGTATTATGAACACAAAAATCAATGCATAGGTACTTACAGTTTTATATTGATGTTAAACGTGGTTTTCAGTGATTTAAGGCTTTGAATGAACACTTTTTGTTTCTAAATTGGAACTAATTAAATAATATTATAAATGGTATAATATTTTTCCTGCTTTTTACATTCTTTGTACTCAATAGTTTTTCTTAAAATATGTGTATGTTATGAGTGCTGCATTATACATTATAGAGGAAAAAGAAACGTCCCCGTTGTGGAAAAGGGGCTAGGCCCGAAATTTGATTCCAACCATTAAAATTTTAAATTACCGGAACACATAATATTCGTTTAAGTTTGAAAATGTGATAAAAATGAATTTTTAGTTTAATCTTTTTTTTTATATTTCCCTATATTTTATCTTTTCGATATGCATTTTGGACATTCATTGTATAGGATCTACTAATTATATTAGTACAGTATTATTATATTTTATTTGAAAATTCAAATACAAATTTCAATCGTGCTATTCTTTTCTAAAATGTAAAATTTAAAAATGGATAAGATTTGTTTCTCTAGAAGTTTTGACTATTCTGTACCGTAGATTTTATAAATTTTATCGTTTTTCATAATTTACTAAAAAATAGTACTATTTAATTATAATTAAATATGCATATTTTGTACGATCTTATCTAATTACCTGATAAGTTTTATTTGATTATTTCTCGCTCTATAAATATAAATATAACTTGCTTGACCATTATATGAGATAAAAACAAATTACAAGTGGTAGATTTTAAATATTTAACTTAATAAACCAATTAAAAACTGAGAAATTTAAATATCAGCATTTTCAATATAACAAACCATGAAATAATGGATTCATAAAATATCTTTTAAAAAGAAGAAAATAAAAAACTTTATACCTAAATGTTTGCTCAAAAATAAATATAAGTAACATAAATAATAAATTAGATTTCAAATTATCAATAAAGTGTTTAGTAATATCATGATTTATATAATGTTCAAGGTATTCATATATCCAACACAAGCAATATACAAACTGGTGAAGTATAAATAAACACTTTTTTTTCTTTTCATATATATTATTAGTTATGCAATAAAGCAATGTCTGAGGAATCTTCCAAGGACCAATAAGTATGTGCGTTTTGAAGGAGGTATATATCAGTGAAACTTTTGTAATTTAATAGTAAAGAATATTCTGAGAAACATATTCTCCTTACCTAAACATTACCATGCAAAACATGTTAATTTACTTTTAAGAATTGATCCCTGGTAAACTAAACGCCATAATAGTTTTTTTTTTTTTTTTAAGAATTTTAAAATATTATTTTCGTTGACTTCAGCACAATACTTGTAGGATAAAATCATTGGGTAACTTGAACTTAAAATATTATACGAGGTAGCGTAGGTACGATTTGTTTAAAAACATTATTTATTTATGATATATAATATATCTTCTGTTTATCCTGGTCTTTAGAACATAGCCAATCGCTACTAAATTTCAAATTAAAACAATTTGTGTTATTGTAATTGTTTTTTTTTTTTTTTTGGACAGCTCAACAAACTTATTTTTTTTTCATTATGATATTACCATTATATTACGACTATAAGTTTATAAATATTTAGATTTTGATAATTACTTTTCACTTATTTCACATTACTATGATAATATATTTATACATTTTTGGCTCCCAATAAAATAAAATCTATTTGTTTCGTAACATTTTTAGCATTTTTATGATCAAACCATCGTATGTTATAAATCTGCATCAAATATTTTACGACTAATACTATTCACATCGATTTTTAGACGTGAAAAAAGTATTTTAAATTAGCCTTATTAAATTTTTTGTATTCCTTACCCTAATAGCATATAAACAAAAATAATATAGGGAGGGGGAAAACTCTTATTAATACAAAATGCTATCTATAAAATCATTAAAATTATTTTGGTGAAATTATTAATTTTTTGTTTCATGTGAGCTGTCCATATAAGTTATTCTATTTATCTTCAAAAATATTTGACCATGTCAAGTTTTTTTTTTTGACAAGTTTTAAATGTCTGACTCTAGGCACATGTCACTTGATTATTTTTAACAAAATATTTAATATTTTCCATTATTTTTTTTGTGAATAAACTTTAAGATTGTAAATATATGCATTAAAAATATCTTTTACAATCAGAAAAATATCCGAAAACTACTTTAAAATAGTCATGATTTATTGGTTGTTATGATAATTCGATAATAACATATACCAGCGGTTCTTTTTATTACGCGGACCCCTGATGAAGGACATTTTTAAATCTCGGACCACCTTATTAATTTTGTTAGGAATTACCATTTTTTTATTAAAAAATATTTCATGTTACAATTACCAATATATTTAAAAGAAAGGTAAATAAAAATATAATAAGTATAAAAAAAATTTTGTTTATTATTTTTGTTATATTTTATATTATTGCATTAACATTTTGTCTTACATAGAAAATTAATTATCGTTTTACTTTTATGATATTTGAAATTAATCATATAATTTAAAATTATTATAGGTATACTTAATGTGAAGGATGATATTGCATTTCTGACATTAATTTTTCTATATTAGGCTCAATATTTGAAAGTTTTAATCGAAGTTCGGACTCTACGTTTTCCAAACGATTGCGAAACTTGTTTTTGACATATACAAGAGCGGATAAGACCTTTTCACATAAATAAATTGTGGGGAACAGAATTAAAACTTTCAGAGCTTTACTTGATAATACTGGATAATCTTTTTGTACGTGCAACCAATAATTTTCTAACGACTTTTGATTAAATTGTAATTTTAAACTACCATTTGTAGAAATTTCTATAAGATTATCTGCTTCCAGTGATGTCAGTCCATTAATTTGGGTTATATCAATTTCAAAAGGGTGTCTAATTCAGTTTCTATTTGTGTCTGGAACAGGAAAATAATCATGGAAGCTTCGTTGTAGATCTTCAATATGTTGTTTGATGTATTTGGAAACTTCTCCGGATAATTCTTCTTTGGTCAATTCAAGGAAACTATTGAGGTATTGAAATGAATCGTAATTTTTCTTTGATAGACGAAGGTTCCATAGTTCCAACTTTTTTATCATCGCTTCAATTTTATCTTCAACTTTAAAAATTGTAACATGGGACCCTTGAAGACTCAAGTTAAGTACATTTAAATGAGCAAATATATCTGAAAGGTACGCTAAACTGGCCAACCTAGAAAAATCATTTAAACGTTCACTTAACGTAAACGATGATTTATGTTCGATGAAAAATAATCTAATCTCATGACTAAACTCAAACAAACGAGAGAGCACTTTACCTCGAGATAACCAACGAATTTCAGAATGTAATAGAAGTTGATAATGTTCACTATCCATGTCCTTGCAAAGTTGTTCAAAAAGTCTTGAATTTAATGATTTGGCTTTTATAAAGTTCACAATTTTTACAGCTTCATCTAAAACTTCTTTTAATTTTGTTGGTATTTTCTTAGAGACAATAGCTTCACGATGAATACAGCAATGATGCCATGTAACTGATAGTATAATATTTCGAATGCGTGCAATTAATCCAGAAATTTTTACTGACATTGCTCGAGCACCAACTGTACTAACTCCTACACATTTTGTCCATTCAATTTCATTTAATATTATAAATTCATTTATTTCGTATTTTGGTAAATATTTCTTCTGCTGTTGTATGTATAACAGAGGTTACAAATAAAATGTCTTTGAAAATGGTATTTTTGTAGTTGTGTCTTACATAACACAGTAATATAGATTTATTAGTTATATCAGTACTTTCATCTAATTGGAGACTAAAATAATCACATTCGTTTATTCTTCTCAACAACTGTTCTTTAATATTTCCTTATAAACTATCAATTCGTTTTTTTATTGTATCATTTGGTAGCGAAATTAAATTTATGTTATTTGCTGCTTCTTTACTGATCATTATAGAAACCATAGCTTTTGCAGTGGGCAATATTAAATCCTCAGAAATTGTGTGAGGTTTCCCTGATTTGTCAATAAGTAAAGAAACGGCAAATGAAGCTTTAACGGCATTTTCATTACTATAACTTGTTGAAGATTTTTTAATACATTTCATATTTTTCCTTAATTCATATTCTTTATTTTTAAAAAAATCAATGGTTTTCGTAATATGTTCTTTATGTTTGGTTTCTAGATGTCTTTTTAGTTTTGATGGTTTTAGTGCCTCGTTTGATAATACTTCAAAACATATCACGCATTGTGGTTTTTGTTCTTCAGAACCGCTACAAATAAAACCTATCGATAAATAATTATTATCATACTTACGAAATGTTGTTAGTTTAATTTTCTTCGTTCATGGTGTCTCCTTATTATCAATCGTAGAATTATTCCTCTTTAAATTTAACCAAACGACTGGACGTTTGAGTGCTGTAAATTTCGTTTGACAAGATAAACTAATAGATAAATGATAATTATAAATATAATTTAAAATTCTATGTTACGCCGATATGGGTAATTAAGATTAGAATACTTGAGGATTAACTTTTCTAAAGTTGCGATAAGACGCGTTCAATACTTGTATAATAATATATTTTACATTTCTAACAATATCATTATTACACACACATGCTGTCCACAGCTGAAATCATTTATAGTGTCGCGGACCCCTAGGGGGCCGCGGACCACAGTTTAAGAACTGCTGACATATACTATAATATCACATTTATGCATGTATTATAAATAATTTTATTGAAATAAAATAAAGAAATAAAAGCGATAGGATCAAGAATCAGATGGAAAGAAGCTGTAAAGAACAGGAACAAATGGCAAGATTTTTATTTAAAGGCATAATCTTAAATGTCAAAACTAAAAAGAAGAAGAAGAATTACAAGTATATCTGAATTTATCAATTTAAATGAATAAATATATTACGAGTACAATAATATTTTTGCAAGCAAATAATACAAATATATTAAGAATAGGTACGAGGTCTTGAAAAATATTGACAATGTTACCTGTAAATATTTTGTAAAATGTGTTTTCCATTGCCAATATAATGCGACATTATGTTGATAATATTTTGTAACATTATTTATATTTATCTTGGAAATATTTAAATAAGTTTTATCTCGCTGTATGGACAATTAGTTTGAATAGAAATTAAAATGTTTTCTCATTTTTGTTTCGAAATCATCGATTCCACAGCTGGGCTCTGATAACTGATATATCTACAAAATCATGTATAATTTTTTTCGTTTAAAATCTATCTAAAATTAATTATTTAATATTTGTTTGTTATGATAATTTCATTTGCGTTTTATTTAATTTAGTACTGAAACACATACTACAAGTAAATACTATAGTTTTATTCTATTCGAAGTAATTTTTGTAATAATAGCTGATGTGCACACATTTTGAACATTTCGCGTGTAAAAAAAAATGCAAGAAAGTTTAAGATCGCCTTGAGAACGTTTTTGGCGTTGATACGTTCATTAAATCGCGAACCGACGAGAATGGTGGATATTTAATTATGCGTGCGCGTTCTTGGCCCGGGCAAACAACGAAAGTGTGTGTGCGGGCGTGCTAAGAACGGAAAATGGATGAAAGGAAAATACAAAATATATGTCTATATATAGAACGACACGTGTATAACGAAAACGCGCTATACCCTTCTTTGTCTCTCATTATCTCTTACCGTATCTCTCATCCTTTACCTCTTTCTCTCTCTCTCTCACACTCTTTCTCTTTCTCTTTCTCTTCAACCCTTATGACGACGACAAGACTGTCGTGTGGGCGGGCGTTTCCTCCATTTATGCTCCGATGAATATGTGTTTGTTCGCCGGAGAGGAAACACTCGGTGGCAGTGGAGTTTGTATTATTCCCGTAGAAATCCCGTGAGCGCATTATCGTCGTCGTCGTCTTCGTCGTGTCATCTCTCTCTCTCCTCCTCTCTCTCACTCTCTCTCTCTCTCTCTCTCTCTCTCTCTGTATTTCTCTGTATCTCTATTTATATATATATAAATTTCTATACTATGTGCCGGGTGCGTACAGTGGTTTTAGTGGTAATATTTCATCGTCTTTACACACGTGGGGAGGGCGTCGTTCGAGCGGCTGGAGATGGGAAATCTTAGAACAGGAGGAAAATAGCTATTTCCGGAGAGATTTCGGCGGCTCAGTGTGTGCGCGCGTGTGGAAAATCGGGTAGAAGTATGTATTCAAAATGGCTATATGCCCAAGACGTGTACTCTGTATAATGCACACGTACTCTCGTCTATATTATAAAAGCTCGATCCCACCACCGATGAAATTCCTTGAGTACTTATGTGCCGTGTACAAATACATTTATACATAATGTATAGTGTACGGTCGCTGGGGGGGGGGACGAGTGGTGGAATAATATCTGACAACGTGTAATATAAATCATCGCACTGCAAGACGCTATACACGCATTCTGCGCCCGGTACAATAATAACAATAATTATTATTATTCGTAAGCCAACGTGACAAAGATTTATTGTCACCGCCTCCTCGGTGCGAATCTGTTCGCCGCATTCTTCTTCGTTCCGTAAATACCCTTGCCACCGTTTCACCACTACAGTCCTTCTGGAAATCATACCTACAAATGCGATTTTTTGACATTGCTGTGCAATTCACCCGTGTGCATACAAAAAAAAATTTAAAAAAATAGATCATCGTACACGTAATAATTTTGTTTCGTGTTTTATTGAAGAAATGTTAGAACTTTATACCACGCGACCATATCACCAACATGTTTATTACATGCAAAAACGTTGTGAAAATATAAAAAAATTAACGGAGACTCTACCTAGTTGGGAAGAAAATGTATTTACAGTGTTATGTAACTCTTGTACCATGAAAGTTTTCACATACATCGATTTAAAATTTATCCGACCCTCCGGAAGTTGACTCCGAGATAACAAACGGCCATGATCGTATTAGTCGTTTGACCTTTTTTCGTGGTGTTTAAAAGTGTGTCCCGGGCTAAATATATGGATCGATGAAGATACCGGCTACAGTACTGGCAAATATATGCGAGAAGTGTGTGACAACGTGATCGTATTCATATCCGTGGTTCTATAAATAAATAATAATTTATGTTTTACGATCTAAAAAAAGAAGAAAAATCTTATAGCATGGGAAGAAACCGTTCAGTGTAAATTCATAGTAAAGGCTTCTTTTATTTTTTTTTTTTTTTTTTGACAATATTGTAGCGATTTAATTTTTCAAAAAACTTGTTTCAATAATTTTGTATAGCTAAACAGAAAATTTTTTAATGTTACTAATGATAACTTGCAAATAATTTAGAACCTATTTTTGTTAGTGAAAAATAAAAACGCTACATCACAGATAATGATTTTTTTTTTTAAAACCAAAAAAAAAAAAAGAAAAACTTACTACAAGTTACAGAAGTAAGTTGCGGCTTATGAAAAAAACTGTTTAACCTTCTTTTATTAAAGTAAAAGAGTGTAGATTTGCTAAGAAAAAAGTTGGCACATAAAAATCCAATAGTTTGGGTTTAGTATCGATTGTACAAAAAAAAATACTAGTTTAAGTTTTTTCTCTTTTTTTTCTCGACTTTCTTAAATCCTTTCTTAAATCCACAAGATGTTCAAAACTGTTTTCCTGAAAACGTTCTGGTAATACAACCCAAGAAACTACTCGAGTATTATATTTGTTTTTTTGCTTCTATTTCCCGATATTGCCAGCACCACTACAGACTAAGTATTAGAATTCATAAACTATACATGTATATTAGAATCATATTTGTATAATAAAAATGATAATCAACTAAAAATATTGACACAATATTATTATATCATCGACAATACGCACGAAAAACAATCTGGCATCATAACATAGAAAATTGAATAGCTCGATTAATTCTTCTTCCCAGAATACTTTTAATTTTTAAAAACTTTTTAAAAATATTTAAAGTAAAACTTATAAAACATTACGAAGTCAAGGTTCAAAAAACAGAATCATCATAGAAAAAAAAAATAAGTATTAAAAAGAAAAAAAAAGAAAATAATTAGAAAAAAAAATTAACTACAATTTAATTTATAAAGTTAGTGTCGTTAAAATGTCTATCTGTTACAATATACCGCTCTAAAAAATAAATAATCAATAAAAAAAAAAAAAATATGTGGTATAAATAATGATGAATAAGGGACAAAATTTACACGAAAAAAAAATGGCACTGGGACGCAACAGTCAGCCGTATTAACACTGGAAAGTTTTGTCCTGCGTAAAATGCATTTTTACGCTTATACTGGTATATCAATTATCCTCTTAATGTTGTCCTGTTAGATATACATATCACTCACTTCTTTCAATAACGTCATGTCTCAAAAATCCGCTATTTTAATTTTTAATTCTTAACTTAACTTTTATAAAATAGTCTTCTTTAATAAGGGACAAAACTACTGGTTTCATCTATAAAGGGTGTTTTACATACCTATTTAAAATTTCAATCGCTGTATGAGTATTTTAGTCAAACGATTTATTATTCTACTTTCTAACTTTAAAATGATTTTTCTGAAAAATCCAGCTTTTTGAAATGTGACATCATTGAAAGGAGTGAACGACATACAAAATATCATGCAACGCCGTTATCAATGCGTAATATGCGCATTCCGATTTGGTCTTATCGTATTTACCGTAGTGTACACGCGTTATGAGTGGTAACGTTACTTGAGAATTTATTATTGATTTTTGTACACACACACACACACACACACACACACACACACACACACACACACA